AACAGCAGCATCAGCATCAGCAGCAACAGCAGCATCAGCATCAGCATCATCAGCATCATCAGCATCAGCATCATCATCATCAGCAGCATCAGCGTCACATTTACAGCATAAGCATCAGTAGCATCAGCATCAGCAACATCAGCATCAGTAACATCAACATCAGCAAAAAATAGCATCAGCATCAGCATGAGCAGCATCATCAGCAGCATTAGCATCATCATCGTCATTATCAGTGTAAATATCAGCAACAGCATCATCATCATTATTATCATGATCATCATCATCATCAGCGTCAACAACATCATCATCAGCTTCATAATCATCATTATCATCAGCATCAGCATCATCAGGATTGCTTCAGCATCATCAGCATCAGAATCAGCATCAGCATCAGCATCATCAGCGTCAGCAGTGTCAGCATCAGCATCATCAGTGTCATCATTAACAACATCAGCGTTATCATCAGCATCATCGGCATCAGCATCAGCATCATCAGCATTATCATGAGCATTTTAATTAGCATCGTCATCAGCATGCTCAGGACCATCATCATTAACATCATCAGCATCAGCATCAGCAGAATCAGCATCAGCATCAGTATCTTCAGCGTCAGCATCAGCATCATCAACGTCATTAATAACATTATCAGTGTCATCATCAGCATCAATGGCATTATCATCGGCAGCATCACTGTCATCAACAGAATATTAAGTTTCGTCATCAGCATCATCAGCATCATCATCAACAACATCAGCGTCAGCAACATCATCATCAGCGTCATCATCATCATTATCATCAGCATCAGCAGCATCAGCATCAGCATCAGCATCAGGATCAGCAGCTTAAGGGTTATTAACATCATCAGCATCAGCATTATCTGCCTCATCAGCTTCATCAGCATCATCAGCATCAGTGTCATCAGCGTCAGCAGCATCCTAACCGTCAGCAGCATCATCAGCGTCATCAGCATCATCAACATCAGCATCAGCAATAGCAACAACAGCAACAGGATCAGCAGCATCAGCATCAACAGCATCAGGACCAGCATCAACATCATCAGCGTCATCAACATCATCAGCATCAGCATTATCATCATCAGTATTAGCATCAACAGCATCATAAGCATTAGGGTCAACAGCATCATCAGAGTCTGCAGCGTCAGCAGCGTCAACAGCATTACCGTCGTCAGCGTTTGCAGCAGCATCATTAGCATCTGCCTCAGCATCATCAGAATCAACAGCGTCATCATGAGCATCAGTGCGTAATTATTAGCATCTGCAGCGTTAGCATCATCAGAAGCATCAGCAGCATCAGCAGCATCACGAGCATTATCAACATCAGCAGCATCATCGGCATCAGCATCATTAGCATCAGCATTAGCATTATCAGTA